TCAATGGCCTGGCTGACCAGCACTTCCGATCTTATGAAGAAGTAAAAAATTGGATCGATTCGTGGATAGCCTCAAAAGATGACCAGGTTTTTCGACGCGGGATTCGTACGCTATCCGAAAGATGGGAGAAAGTAGTGGCCAGCGATGGACTATACTTTGAATCATAAATGTATAACCAGTTTTTTACAATAAATCCTCGAATTTCGGAAAAAAACGGCGGAAGCAAAGTTGTACCCCTAATAATAAAATAATAAAGAATCATAACTCATTGTCAGTTGCGATAAATAAAAAATAAATAAATAAATTGATTTTTTAATTAAGTAAGATGATGTCGAAAATAATAATTTATTCAAATCACTTGAGATCTTGGCTATACGTTTCGAAACAAGTTTTGGATCCTTTTCAGTATATCAATAATATAATAGTAATGATGTTAATCAAATGTTTCGTTCTAATGAAATTAATTATTTCCTGATATACTATATAATAATTAATTTTAAAAAATTAATATATAAATAAATAAATAAACAATAAAATTTTAAAACTTACATGATCTTCTTTAAAGCTCACAAATATAAGATGTTAACTATACGAACGAATTACAAATCATCTGAACCAAATAATCGTCGCAAGTCAAACTAATGTGCGGAAAGAAAAATATAGATAGAAAGAAACATTGAAGAGAGAAAAACATTATTTGCTGATAAATAAATTGTCATAGGTCGTATCTAATAGATCGGTATCACTCTGTAAATTTAAACTATTTGTTTGTTTCCGAATAAAAATTATTTCTATGATAAGTCTTTTGTTCAAAATTTTTTCTTCATCTGTACATTTTAATGTTATTCCAATAAAAATCGTGCAAATATTCTAACTGAATGATAATTTGAGCATGATATTAATTTTCAGTTAATGTGGTTTTCGTATTTACTCGCTTTTAGTTTTGCTCGTTTGACTTATGTTGCATTTCTCACACTTTATTTTATATACTACATTGATGCAACATTAATAGGAGCTTATCTTTGTGAACTTTAGTGAAACTACTCAATTTGTTAACACCTTTATAAGTCATGTTAACTATTCTGTTATTCCTTAAAAAGTTTTTGATTCTCTCTGAAATATCGGAAATGTAAAATACTGTAAAGAATATTTTTTTGCTTTTTATTTTAGAATTGTTTTCATTACTGAGAATACGATTGTTCCATAAGTTAAATTTTTTATGTAATTTTTTTTGAGGATGAAAAAATCAACTGCAATGGATACTCATTATTTAATAGTAAAGTAATATTCTAATGATTTTATCAAAATTTTTATCATGGAAGGAGGGAACACAAAAGAAATAGGATTTATTAATTAAATTCGCTATGACTCCAATCTTCTGACATAAGTGAGAAATAATTTAAATAATGTTCTAAAGACGTAAACTTTTGGTACCAGTCATACATGATAGAATTATTGAATTTTAATAATGTCACATTTGAAAAATTCAATTTTTCATCACCTAAACTTTAGCCGTGGATAGATAATTGTTAATACATAGCAGAGGTCACTGACTGTGTGTTTTGTTAATTGTAAGAGTAATATCGTTTAAAAAGAGAATTCAATTGTCAATGTTTATTAAAAGCAGCTGATTCTAAGTCCTGAAGAGTTATATCAAAAATATTTTGAGATAACAGCGAGCCTTCGAAGATTTGTTTGTAAAATTTATCATTGAATATAAAAAAAGTAGAGTCAAACAAGAAAGATACGTTTGATTAACATCATTACTATTTTATTATTGTATTGAAAGGGAAGTTTGGAAACGTAAAAAAAAGGAGATGACGACCTTAAGATTTGTCGATTTTTCCTAATTTCTGATGAGGTATAAAGAGACTGATTTATATTTTTTTTCAAGTTCACTACAGTTTTAATTATCATTTGTAAAAATTATTAAGTTGTTAAATAAATTACAATTCTTTAAAATTTAATTTTTTTAAGGACATTAATTTCGTCATCTTGCCACCATATGTGAGTAAAATGACTTTTAATAATATATTTAATAGATAAGACGAAAAATCAATTTAAGCTAAAAATATACTTTTTATGAGAAAAAAAGATTTATTATGATATATTGTTTTATATTGTTTTAATATATCATAAGAAGTTTAAAAAAAAAATACAAACAAAATTAAACCTTTATATAATTTATGAAAATAAAATTATTGAAACGTTAACATTAACATAATTATATTTATGTATTATATGTACCGTAATAATTACGTAATGAACTTATTAGTAAAATATATCTATTTACTACTGTATAGTAAAAAATAAAATAAAATTTAAAATAAAATGATTAAAGAACATTAGAACTAAATTTGGATATCACAATTATATCACATGAAATCCAATATCTTAATATCACACAGAGATATTAATAGATTTTAATACATACAGATTTTAATATGTGATTAATATCACATATCAAAATATGTGATTAATTGATCAATACTAATATTAAAGTTTCATAAGGACTCTGCATATTAAATATACATGTATATAACACACAATTTTTCTTAGATATTTATAATAATATTTAAAACATGATAAGCTTAATGAATTATATATGATAATATTTATTTATAAGTAATCAATGTCAATGAATAATCAATAATAATTTATTATTTGAGTTGAGAAAACTTCACGCGTGAGTACGTAACCTACAATCTGCCTCCATGAGAGCGTCATCTTACCCATAGTTACCGTATATTTTTATTTAATTAGAACCATTGTAATGCGAAAAATAAAAAAATATTAATATATTATTATATTCGCTTTTAATTATACAATGTGCAATTTTATTTAAAAAATGAAAATATTTTATATCATTTCTTGTATATTAATTATGTCATTCCTTGTATATAAATACTGCAAAATTACAAGTGAATGCATCCAAAACACATTTCTTAATATATCTATTTTTGTAATTGGAATTCAAATTATAAGAGATTGTGTATTATTATATTAGCTAAAGCCTTTAAGCATCTGCTTTTCATTTATTATTATCTTTAAAAAATTAACAATTCGTTATCTTACCCTCTTCATCCCCCTTTCCCTTATGGCCTGAATAAATTATTTTTCACATCAACATTTTATTTTGGCTTAAAAAGACATCAATTTATTTCTTATATAATTTTGTATATGTATGTGTGTGTGTGTGTGTATGTGTGTGTGTGTGTGTGTGTGTGTGTGTGTGTGTATTTGTATACAAAATTTATGTACATAACGTGATGTATAGATACACATACAATTTTTCATAAAGTAAATAAATTTTATTTAATATTAATATATGCCACTTATCCTATCATGATTCTTTGTGCCATTATTATTGAATGCATTCAATTAAATAAATTACGGATACGACGGATCGTATATATTCAATTACAACTTTAAAGCACTATACCATATGTATTCGACTACTTTAATTAAATATATTTTAAGATTATAATTACATCTTCAAAATATTCATGCATCAATTAATGCCGTAAAAAGTTATATAGAAAGTTGATCTATGGCAATGATTCTTAAATATTAAAAAACCTACTTTCTATTAATTATAAATGTATCTATTTTAAAAATAATCTAGCAATAAATTGACCGAAGTTGAATGTAAATGTTTCTTTTTCGCACAAATAAAATAAAACAAATTAATACAAATTTATTTCACGTAGGTTATGACAATTGGATTCCTAATTGTTCGAATCAGGGAATAATTTTGAATGTCTTATGTCCATCTCTCCTCTTCTTTATCTCTATTTTATAATTATCGCAAAAGTAATTAAATATTAAATTTTAAAAAAATTAATTCGTTATTTACTTTTCCATGAAAAAATAATATTATAATATTACAATATGTTATAATTATGTATATAAAACTTATAGTAAATGGAATACGAATGTGGAGTTGTAAGCAACATCTAAATGATAGAAATATCTTTCTATCCTGCTTAGTGACCGTTCTTCTTTATGCGCATAACCATCCTCTACCAATCGAAATTTTCAGATGCCTTCTATTACTATAAGTTCTATGGATATAATATTATTACTTAATTTTATTTAATATAAATCATTATATAATATAATATTGTTATTTAAAACAACCAATATTTCATTTACCATATTTTAATAGCTATTTTGTTAAACTACTTTAAATATGTTAAAAAGAGAAAAAATAACATAAATTTCGAGAAATTATAATCAGTTTCCTTGACGTCAAAGTTTAAGCATTCATTGTATCACATAAATAAAAAAAATTATTTCAATGGACTTTAATTTATCTATAATTTGCAAAATAAATTTTTAAGATATATTCAATAATTTTGCAACATTATAAAGTCATGAGTAAAAACTGTGATACTTTTACACTAAATAATTCATATTAATTATCATACAAGATAATTCGCATTAATCGTAATACGTTTATAGAATCGAGATCGATATCTTAAATATTATTGACGTCTCTTTCCGAATCTCTTTTTACAATCCGAATGCACCTAAAGCTGCGATTCTACCATACGATCTATCTGCTCTGCAGAAAAGCCATGTATGTCAAATATGATGAAAATGAGGACATGATGATTTTAAGAAATGATCATATCCTCGATGTATATTCGAAACTCTATTAAATATATTAAACATATTTATCGCAATAAGCGAACTATTAAGGTAAGAAAGTCAAGAATAATACAAGTTGTAATAAAAATATATAATTATATGTAAAACATATAAATATATGTTAATATATAATACAAAATTGTACTTCAGATCACCGAGTTTCCATTTAGTTTCAAAATAGAATACTCATGTAAAGGATGATCAATTTATATTATTCTAAGCATAAAAGATTAAAAGCACCAATCTGTCAATTAAAAATAAATATTTCGCAATAAACAAAATAAATACATCTTGTTATTATCTAAACGCTGTAAATACTTGTAGCTATAAAAATAACGTATTCCTCTTCATTTTCATTCAATAAAAATTGATTTTTTGTGAAACATTTTTCTTTCGCTAATCAATCACAAAAGACATCACATAACATAAGCTTCTAGAAACATACATCTATTCGAGCGCTACTAAAAGATAAAAACATAACAAACTAAAAGATCGAAAAATCGCTCCTCGCTGCAACGAAAGTACGTTTCACATCACACACATTCGCATAATAGATCACACAAAGCTCAACGAAAGACAAAAAATATTCGCAAGCTTTAATTACATTGCACTCTATTTCTTTCTTCTTTTCTTTCTCATGATCTGTATAGTGTACAGCACCGACGAAGCTCAAATAACTTGTATAATAATGAGAAAAAAAATAGAACCAAGATGCAGTAGTTGAAAAATAATCAAAATAGTAAGATAATTTACTATGTTGAAATTAAAAAAGTATTTCTTGAAGATTTTAGAACTCGTCAAGCGCTAAAAGCATTCGGCTGAAGAAGGCTATGCTGTAGACATGTCCGGAGGGAGACATCTAATCTCATCTGATGCTTCATGAGAAATCCACGAATCTTTTTAGTTTCCCGAGGACAACTAGAAGATAGTTATGGTCTTGTTGCAGTCAGCAAGCGAAGAGCGAGCTCGTTAGGTCAACAATTGCGATTACCAGTGCCATTATTCACCTGTATGCCGGTTATACCAGCCTCCGCTTCATAATCGGTAGTTCGATGTTTCTCTATGGAGGAGCATTTTTCTTTTTTCTCTTTGAAAAGATCTGCTACACAATTTGCCTAGAGAAATATCATAAAGATCTTAATTCTATCTTTTATCTTGTTAAAAATAAGTTTATATATCGATCTAATTTCAACATTTTAATTGATTACATTATAAATGTAATATTTAATTGATTACATTATAAATGTAATCTGATTATATTATAAAAAAGTATAACATCCAATATTTTGATAGAAATAAAAATTATTTTAATTCTCAAAAGAATTCTTGACCAAATGTTTGTATTTATTTATTACTAAATTTCTTAATATTCTTTAATATAATAATTTAAATTATACAAT